CTGTGCTGTGCATCGAATAAAAGATCTGTATCCTGAGAAAGCCTGCTGTTCGCCTCATGCAAGACTATGTACATTTCGCTTGTTACGTTGGGGTGTTGCTATCCCACGGGCGTGGAGGGAGGTCACGTGATAACGTTGACGATGACGTTCAAAACGTTAACACTAACGGTAACCATCACTCCAACACCGCCAACACTAACACTCACACTAAATATATATGTGTCGCCGCGCTATATATAGGCATTGTGATCCACAAAAATTAATCTATGGTGTGGGGACAGATATCATGATGCAAAAACCCTAACCCTAACCCTAATCCTAACCCTAACCGTAACCCTAATCCTAATCCTAACCCTAACCCTAATCCTAACCCTAACCCTAACCCTAACCCTAACCCTGACCCTAACCCTAATCCTAACCCTAACCCTAACCCTAACCCTAACCCTAACCCTAACCCTGACCCTAACCCTAATCCTAACACTATCCCAACACTAGTGCTGCCACATTGCGGTCACCTCCCTCCACGCCCGTGGAATAGCATTACCCAATTAGTTTCGTACTCACGCGCATGTTCCTTTGTTTCTTCGCAGTCGAGGCGACGACCATCATGATGTTGCTAGGCAACCTGAACGCCTGCACGAACCCGTGGCTCTATCTGTTCTTCAGCGGTAACCTCGTGCCGGGAATCGCGCAGCTGTGCCGACGCGGTAGACGCGCCAACGCCGCGCCGCCAGGGGGCGTTACGCGCACCCGCACCGTCTCCTCACACCTGTCCGACTGCAGCGCCGCGGTGGCGGGCCGCGCAACTAGCCGCACGCGGCGAGCGAGGGTCGACAACAACAAGCCGAGGGCGGAGGACGCGGCGGGAGTCTACAGCTGCGAAGACGGTCTGCTGAAGGAAGATTTGTTTGAGCCGACCGCCGGGGAGCGCGAAGGGAGACTGCCGCCGGCGTCGTGCGAGGAGGAGGAGGACGAACCGGAAGCGGCACTTGGAGAGACGGACGTCCGGTCGCAGCAGCAGACGACTTCCGGTCTGCTGCTAATCGAGCTGCGTGTCGGCGACTCTGCGCACGAGTCGTAGCGCTACCTGGATGCCGCCGAAGTAAGTGTATACGGGACCGCCGCCCGCCGACTGCATTCCCCCGTCACAGCACCCAGCGGCCGCCGCTGCGCCATCTGGAGGCATTTATTGCCAACATAAGCAGCGAAGAACTGCAACTCGCAACCTCCTAACTCGTAGCTTGGCGCCGTGAGCGTCAGTTTACTAGTCGTAATCAACTTTGGCGTGCATGCACATTGCACACGCGGTACGACAGACGGTGAACGAGATTTATATTCCCGGCCGCTCGGCAGCGCGTTGCTTATTAGATAGAGCGACTAATTCTGAATTTATCGCCACGCTGCTTAGAGCTGCATCATCGCACCGTCGATAATGATGTGACGCGATGGCCGTGTTTGTCCGTCGGCTCTTTGTGTGTGTGTGTGTGTGTGTGTGTGTGTGTGTGTGTGTGTGTGTGTGTGTGTGTGTGTGTGTGTGTGTGTGTGCCGCTGCCGGCGCCGCCGCGCTCGGCAGAGACGAGCAGCTCGCCAAGGTCGAGATCTGCGTTCTGGCGGCCATCTTTCTTCTCGCCGTCGTCGGTAACGCGTGCGTGCTGGCGGCGCTGCGTCGCCGGCCGACGCTGTCGCGCATGCATTACTTCATGCTGCACCTGAGCGTCGCCGACCTGGTCGTCGCCTTCTTCAACGTGCTGCCGCAGCTCGCCTGGGACGTCACCTACCGCTTCCAGGGCGGCAACGACCTCTGCAAGTTCGTCAAGTTTGCGCAGGTGTTCGGCATGTTTCTCTCCACCTACGTGCTGCTTGTGATGGCAGCCGACCGCTGGGCGGTCATCTGCCGGCCGCTGGTCAGCATGATGTGGACGCCGCGCATGGCGCATGCGCGCGTCGCAGCCGCCTGGCTGCTCTCCGGCGTTCTCTCCTTACCACAGCTCTTCCTCTTCTCCTACCGCGACGTGAGCGGCGGAGGAGGAGGAGAGGGTGGAGGGGGCGGAGGAGGAGGAGGAGTGGAGAGGGACTGCATCGTGAGGTTTCGTCTGCCGACGACGAAGCTCGCCTACGTGCTGTGGACGTGCTGCGTCATGTTCGTGCTGCCGACGCTGCTGCTCGCCGTCATGTACACGTGGATCTGCGTCGTCGTCTGGGGCCGCTTCCACGCGACGCTGCTGCCGTCCGCCGCAGCGCCCCCGCCGCCGTCTCCCTCCGGTGCGTCGCCTAGAACGGAGAGCCGCGATAACAGCAGAGGGAGTGCGCGCACGTGCCGGCACGGCGGTAAGCAGGAGCACAGTAACAGCAGCGGGAGTGCGTCCGCTTGTCGGCACGGCGTTACCCACAACAGTAACAACAGGAGGGGTGCTTCCGCGAGTGAGAGCAGAGGGGGCGCTTGCGCGTGCCGGCACGGCGATAACGAGAAGAACAGTAACGACAGAAGTGGTGCATCCGTGTGCCGGCACGGCGGTAACGCGATGAACAGTAACGACAGAAAAGGTGCATCCACGTGCCGGCACGGCGGTCACCAAGAGAACAGTACCGATAGAGAAGGCGCGTCCGCGTGCCGGCATGGCGGTAACGAGGAGAACAGTAACAGCAGGGGGAGTGCGTCCGCGTGCCGGCACGGCGGTAGGGACCGGCTGTCGCGCGCCAAGGTGAAGACGGTGAAGATGACTTTGGCCGTCGTGCTGTGTTTTGTCGTCTGCTGGACGCCGTTCTTCCTCACGACGCTCTGGTTCGTCGTCGACGAGCGTCACGCCGTGAAGACGCTCACAGGTAAGTTCTGGTTCCGATGGTCGCCATCTTTGGTGGTCGCCATCTTTAGGGGCCGCCATCTTTGAGAGTTGACATCTTTAGTGGTTGCTATTTTCGTTGGCCGCCATCTTTGATGGTTGCTATCTTTGGTGTTCTCTATCTTTGATGGTCGCAATCTTTGGTGGTCGCCATCTTTGGTGGTCGCCATCACTGATGGAAGCCATCTTTGCTGGTCGTCATTTTTGGTAGTTGACATCTTTGCTGGTCGTCATTTTTGGTAGTTGACATCTTTGCTGGTCGCCATCTTTGGTGGTTGCAATCGTTGGTGGTTGCATTCTTTGGTGGTTGCAAACTTTGGTGGTCGCCATATTTGGTGGCTGGCAGCTTTGATGGTTGCAATCTTTGGTGGTCGCCACATTTGGTGGCTGGCAGCTTTGATGGCTCCCGTCTTTCTATTGACAAAAACTAACTAATGTGCACGCTTTTGCTTCCGGCGATCAGCCTTGATTATCTTTGTGCATTTAGAACTACAGTAGCATAATGAACACATTTCCGATGTTAGTGATCCCGCCACCACGTTTGCTGGCTGATACAGTTGTATCAACTACGGTCAGCTAATGGGGTTAGCCGCTAGCTTTGTCAGCAGGTGGCGCAGCGGGAGTTAGAGGTGTTACAACGATTGCGCAATCAACCGGTCAGTTGGAAAGATACAGGAATCACGAATAGCCGATCGTATCGTCATAGCGATATAACCAAGTTAAAAAGCCTTCGTAAAGTCTGCAGCGATCACTTCAGAGAGGCTGACTATACTAGCACACTTTTAAGTAAGTGTAATATCAAAACCCACTCACACACGCACGCATGCACGTACATGTAGCCTATGACCAACGCCGGGCACGGGCACGGCAGACGACGCGACGCACTTTCGCACGGCCACGCACGGCAGACTGTGTACGTGCACACGGCACGCACGCACGCACACGACGTGAACGCGCACACCACCGCACGCAACGCATATATATTGTCAGCGGCGAATATAGTGTGGTGTACGACAGTAGGGGCTCTTCTGCAGGTCATACATATACGTACATACATACATGAATCTCAATAAACATATTACATAACTCCTCAGCACACACAAAGAAATAAACAGCCCACTTCTCATATGCACACTAATATCACAGTGAATCTCAATAAACATATTACATAACTCCATCAACCACACACAAAAGAATAAACACCCACTTCCCCCACTCTATCCGGGTGTGCATCTGGTACGCGGATAATCTTCACCTCTGCAGATGTGCTGCCCTCCAGCGGCAACTGTTTCTAGCGGCTAACCCCATTGCTGGAGAGCACTAAAACTGCTCGAGAATTCCTGCCTTGTCTTGGCTGTTGTTAAAGACGCTTTGTAGGGGCGATCCGGTTATTAGCTGTCCGAGAAAAATGAAATGTTTGTGACGAACAAAAAAACGTTTTCGAATGCGTTCCTCTATTCCCCCCCGTCGTAGAGATAGAAAAACGTGCGAACCATCGCAAAACGCGACATCAAACATGGCCGCTCAGCGACTGGGTAGTATGGGGATTCTTATAAGAAAATATATATTCACACCGCCTTTATCGCGGCCCGTCTCTCCACATTGTACATGCATGTACATATTGCGTGTTGGCCGACGTAATATAAAATAAAATCCCGCTGTTCGGTACCGCACCACAATGACAAACACATAGCGGCCCATTGTAGCTATGACCCTGCTTTCACGGGCTGCCGCCTTTTATCCTATTCGAGCGGGCCGTGCAGCGAGAGTGTGCTTACGCGTCGTCCCTGCTCGAGTGTATGGCATGTGTGACGTGCTGAGTTTTATAATTTGCGTAATTGTTATATGTCGCGGTCTATACGCAGTGCGCTGTTATTTCATTATGCAAATCCCCAATCACAGTAATTTCACTGCGAAACGCTGAGAATTGCTCAGAAAGGTCCGATTTCATTACTGATATGTGTGCGTGCGCGTGCATGCGTAAATACATGTGTGTATGTGTATGTGTATGTGTATGTGTATGTGTATGTGTGTGTGTGTGTGTGTGTGTGGTGTGTGTGTGTGTGTGTGTGTGTGGTGTGTGTGTGTGTTGTGTGTGTGTGTGTCTGTGTGTGTGTGTGTGCGTATATTTTCATCAGTCAAGAAGACGGAACGTACGTGGGCAATTGTATGAGCCGTGAATGCCGTACAAAACGTCTATGGAAAGCTGTGATAGCGTGTGAAATATTGCGAAAGTTTCGCACGACGCTTATGGTGGCGGTCAATCACGTAGGAAATATTTGATAAGTAGACAGATTGGCGACATTGCGCGAAAGCCAACGGGAAGCTTAGTTGTAACGAAAACTTGCCATGTGAAAGACGCGTGCTTGATATATTATGCAAAATCACACACGAACAATCGATGTAGATAAAAAATACAAATTCATAGACGCGTAGAGGCTGTTGACAATTTTTAGTACATCTCTCTTCCTCGGGCTTTCAGCTGACAGCCTGAGAAAGAGCTCGCTGATTAAAATTTAAAACACCCTTTACCTATTTTTGAATTGGCTTATATATATGAAGAGCTTATTTGCCAAAAATTTGGAAAAATGAGAGAAAACGACAAAAACATTATTTGACAATCATTTACATTGCTTTCAGCATTGGTTAAAATGTGTAGATGGATATAGACTATTTTGGCAGCATTACAACTAAATATATTTATGATGGTTCTTTTAAGCATCGATGTAGGCTGTTTTTTTTAAAGAAAAAATACTCTACACGACGTATCTATGTTCACACACTTACATTCGGTGGTGTAAACTCATTTTAAAAATGTGCATAGGCAGTTTGCAAATAAGCTCTTCATATATATATATATATTATATACTATATATATATATATATATATATACATATATATATATGTCTGTATGTGCGTGCGTGCGTTCGTGCGCCGCGTGTGTGTATGAGACACGGAAGCCGTAAGAAAACGCGCGACACATTAAAGCGATCATTGCGACGTGTATGTTGTTTTCAAGCGTTTTTTAGTGTTTTATTCTCACTCTCATGATGCCTACCGTTGTGTGCTTGAGTAACCAGTAATGTGTTTGAAATAACATAAAATGTCTTAGAACGCATGCCAGAAGACAAAATCATCGCACGATACAATTTGGCGTTCTCTGTGATTTTCAGCTGTCATGGCTCGCGACTATCTCGCGGTAGCGCGAGACGTCAACAAGGGTACAGAAATGCCAAAATTGCACCGGAGATATTTTTGGTCAGATGGAACACAGAGGTGCCATAGTACGTAATACAAACAAGGTGTAAGTTGTAACCTCATAAATATTAGTCTCAAAAGTCCTAGAGACTATAACGAAGACGGAGAGAGAAGTGGATCAAATTCTCGTTGCGTAGCGCAGCGAGAATACTTATCAACACACAAATAGATGCCCCTTCGTTTTAAATTTGTTCGCTTGTTTGAGACGCCATTTGTGATTTTTGAAGTCCTGACTCGAAAAAATGTATTGCTGGTATGATGTGGTCAAATCAATTTTTCTATGCTATAACTGCTAAAATATTGGTGTTTTGAAGTGTTGGTGAAATCAGTAATATTTCGCTGTCAGGTGAGACTGTATTCAGCTATATTTAGTTTGTTTCTGAGCAAAATTCTCGCAATGAGATCGTTTTAATTAAACTGCGATAATGATAGTAGGAGGGAGAAGGAATGTAATAAGGGCGTAGCTTGACGCGTGCAGCTAAGTCGCGATGTACGTGCATGCGAGCGGGGCTGCTCTGCACGCACGCGTGCACGAACGTCACGTACACGTCACGCGCACATGCACGCGAGCGCGCAGCAACACGCGTGACTAAACGTAAAGACGCGCCCGGCAGACGCTTTTAAATACGCTATACGCGCGCGCGTCGATTCGAATTCGGCAAATCCTATTACGCGGCGCGGAAATCCGCCGTCACTCCCAGCAACTGCTTTATACGTCAGCGCGCACGCCAAACGCACGGCGTCAGCAGCTGCGGCCGCTTGAACGTCGGCTGGAGTGGCCACGGCGCCCGACGAGAAGCTGTCCGACTTCATCTCGCTGATCGGGATGAGAGCTCCGGTCGCCGACGCCGCCGACGTCGTTGGCTCGCTGCCAATTCCGAGTTTCAGTCGCGTACGATTCTTCCTCGTGTGTAATTTGTCGCTGATCGAATAGCACGAGGCGGGTGACAGTGTTTTGTGTGTGTGTGTGTGTGTGTGTGTGTGTGTGTTGTGTGGTGTGTGTGTGTGTGTGCGTGTGTGCGTGTGTGCGTATGTGTACGCGCGTGAGTGTGCGCGCGCGTGTGTGGGACATCGTGGGAGCGGGTGCAGGTCTTGACGCTAGCACGGAGGGGGATGGTGACTAGCCACGACTGACGGTGGGAGCGTGGCGTGTGGTGAGTGACTGCAAGCGGCGATGATAGCCACGGTGACCGCTGCGGCGGCAGCCAGCAGACGACGGCGGGCTGATACGGTAATGTACGCGCGCTAAATCTGGCTTCACGTCGCGCCGTGCCACGCTCGGCAGACGAGATTCGGCGGAAATGTTTGCGGCCGGGCGTGTGTGTGCGGGGCGACAATATTAGCTCTATGGCATGACGCTAATCCATATAAACAAAGAAAGAGAGAGAGAGAGAGAGAGACAGTGCGCGAGAGAGTGAGTGAAACAGAGCAAGAAAGCAGGATTGAGAGAGAGAAGAGAAAGAGAGAGAGAGAGAGAGAGAGAGAGAGAGAGAAGAGAGACGAGAGGCAGAGAGAGAGAGAGAGAGAGAGGAGCTAGAGACGGGGGAAGATGAAGGGAGATGGGAAAGAGAGGGAGAGAACGATGGAATGAGAGACAGTGTGTGTTGTGTGTGTGTGTGTGTGTGTGTGTGTGTGGTGGTGTTTGTTTGCTGTGTGTGTGTGTGTTGCTGTGGTGTGTTTGTGTGGTGTCGTGTGGTGTGTGTGTGTGTGTGTGTGTGTGTGTGTGTGTGTGTGTGCTGTGTGTGTGAGGAAGAGAGGAAGAGGAAGAAAATAGGAGAAAGAGAAAGAG